AGTTCTGTTGGCATCTCTTCAGTCTCCTGACGACGGACAGAGCATACTGTCCGAAACGTTGAGTTCCTCACGGTTCTTTTCTGAACCATACAGACTCACAAAAGAGATTGTTTCCTTGCATGGTGCTACCGCAAGCTTTCCACCTTAGAAACCTGCCAAAACCTGCTGTTGGAGTATGGCAGGTTTTGGGTAGTTAGGGTTAAAAATTTGCTTCCCCACAGGTATTAATTACTTTATTGTATGAAAATAAACCTCAACCTGAATTATGTAAAATGAATCCCACTTGACTCCTGCATTTTGACCAATCAACAGACACAGGTTATGGGCCTTTGACTGGAATCAATCTTCGGCCCCATTCACATGCCAAGCTGTGTAGTCTGGTTAGGTCCATGTGCGTTTAGTTGGGGGTGCACTCAGTCCGTATTGGAGGTATTTGCCATCTAAAAGTACCTAACAAAGTATGGTCAGCCGACAAATATCCATGAATCAACAGCCTTCAGCCTTCCTGCTGCAAATGACATTAAGGTTTCTAAAGTCTGGGTTGCACAAAATTTGCATTCAATCTGTATATATCAGATGTCATTTTTGAGCCATAGGTTCTGTTGAACAACAGATGACACTCAGACTAAGTGAACTCTGGGTATGTTCAAATTTTACATACCATTCCTTTGATGACCCAATTGTAACTAGCTCCTAAATTGATTTACATGATCAGCAATGTTAATGTTTTTTGTGGAGGGGGGGTAGCCTGCCCTTTCTCTCAAAAGAGAAAGACTAGTCTTTGATATGGTACTTCTATTGCGAAAATATGTCTGACTTACAGTGAGATGTGAGACTCTTCATAATGTGGGGCATGGCATAATTACATCTGAGGGAGATGCATCAAAATAGTGGTGGTCATACTCAATGCATTTAATCTTTTGCATAATTTGTTGACTCCCTCATCTTAGGAATATTTTCCTGGACCAGTTGGGCCCGCTGGACCACGGGTAAGCATCATAGTTCCTGGACATCCAAAGGCATAGCCAACTTGAATTCATGTTTGACTGTTGACTCTGGACATGATCCATTTTTATTCACTTTCTTTCAACTTTGTTGAATTCAACATGATATTTATGTCCAGACATGTCAGAGACATCTTCTATACTTCCCAAATATAAAAGGTTCTATTAAAGGAGGTGTTTTAAAGTTTTGGTTCCAGATTCCTCACACTTCAGTTCAGATTTCCTGTAGCTGTTGTAATTTCTAATATGAAGGAATGTTCTACCTTCCAGACATCATTGGGTCAGATAGGCACAGATACGTTAATCTTGCACTTTATACAGTTATTCTGAGGCTTTGGATGTGTATGCATATCTACAGCCCATATCCATTCCTTGGCATGGTGAGAGCTTTTTTTTTGGTTTTTTGGCAGGGAGATCCTGGACCTCGGGGTTATCCTGGAGATCGAGGACCCATGGGAATTAAAGGCGACAAGGTATTCTAAATTTTGATGGTCAGTTTGGGTATGATTCAAAGCTGGGTTGTACAGCCCCTTTTCTCAATAATTTCCATTTCCCTATTCTGCGCAAGCAGTAAACCTTCTGGTATTGTTACTTTTTAAGATTTAAATATCCATGTTTGGCTTGTTTATTTCTATTTTCGGTCAGGGGGATCCTGGGCAAAATGGTCGTAATGGAGCTGATGGTCTTCGTGGCCCTCCTGGAGCAAGTGCACTAATACCAGTAAGTCTCTAAATTGTACTTCTGAGGTAACTTCATATTTGCCGCAAGAATATAATAATACTAACAACATATCAAGTGCTTGTATTTGATAAAACTATTCATTGCTCAAGGAGAAATCTACAGATAAGCATGAACAAGCAGGTAAGTTTTAGATGATATTTTAGGGAGGCTTGTCACATTGGATCCTTAAACTAATTGGCAAAGCATTCCACAAACAAGGGGCAACGATTCAAAAATTCTTGTCGCCCAAGTCCTCATTGTTGCTGATGTTACCACAAGCAATTGTTTATCGCTGGATCGCAACTGACGCACAGGCTTATATGATGAGACGAGTTGCTTGATGTATTGAGGTGGGGTGCCATTTACTGCTCAATAGGTGAAAAGAACTTTGTATGTTGTGCGTTGTTAAATAGGAAACCAGTGCAGTTCTTGTAGGACTTGGGTAATATGATCAAACTTCTTTGAGTCTGTTGAGATTCAGGCTGAAATGTTTTGCATTCTTTGGAAGTGAGTGATTGTTGAAGCTGAAAGTAGTGGTCCAGGGCGTGAATGAGCTGTTCAGCTGTTTGTATGCAAGCATAGTGCAAATGTGGTTAATGTTTCTCAGGTCAAACATGTTAGTATGAGAAGTGTTTTGCTTGTGGTCCTTGAAGCTCAAGTTGTTGAAGATTACTCCAAGGTTTCTGGACATCTCACTGAGTGACATGACGTGGCCATCAAAATCAATGATATACCTGATGTTGCAATATTAATGCCTTTAGTTCAACTCAAAGCATGTTGGTTTTACCACTGTTTGGGAAAAATAGTGAGGGGTACACTGGACAGGAAGGCACATGGTCAAAAGGTTCATACAACAATTCATGAACAGTGGTCAAACAGTTGTGGGGAAGAACACCGACAGTTAGCCCACATCAGGAAAACAACAGATTGGGTGGATGAATATAGGTACTGCAGGTTTATGGTAACCTATGGATCAGCCAGAATACCTGTGATTATTTCAGCAATTAACCAACACTTACAAAATTTAATTTCGTTCAGTTTAACAGGGTGAATAAGAACGAAATATAGTTCTCAATAGGTGAAACTATCACTCTGCTAGGCAGAGGATTACATAGTCATGTGTTGGTATAAAAGGAGAGTGATGGACAGTTTAGGCCATCTGCGCACCGACAAGCTGAACCCTACACTACATAGCCAAGTCCGAAAATTTCAATTAACACTCGCATATCATAATTTTTCAAATGAGAGTACTCTCTTCTTAAATGCGAATTAAGAGTGTGCGACCTTGTTTCCTGCGGGCTGGTTGTTGCCCTGAAATACAAGCTGAATTAGTCCTGATAGGATGCACAAGAGTGCCATTTAGACATCTTATTATAAATCGACAGTCTAAAAGTTTCTGTGGTAAAAAAAAAAGTAACACTGTGTCTACTCTAGGAAGCAATCCTAGGAGTTAATATTTTGTATGGTGTCCCTACATGGCATTTATAATGCTAACTGTATTGTTTGTTTCTTTTAAGTCCCTCAGGGACTCCTTCAATGACATAATGGATCTTAACCCAATTTATGCTGAGACTACTTCTTGGTAGCTTGTTTTACTTAATTGCTCTTGAGAGATCATACTAGATGTGTTTCCTTTTAAAAATCCACAGCAACAACTGATGGCAATGATAGCACAGTCAGCAACAGATGGCATGAAGGGGCCAGGAGCACAGGCAAACATGGAAGCTATCCGAGCTGTCCTGGAAGAACAGAGAGTAAGTATGGAATCAAATTAAATATCAAAGCTTTCAGAATCACCAAAATTAGGCTGAAATCATGCATTCTGCCATCCAAAGTGGGAGGATGTCAAGCTGTAAAAAAGATTCTTCATTCAACACATAGAGTACAGATGAATCCAGTGACCATGTACATGTATCACTGGTTATTTACAGTGGCCTCAGCCAATGGTGGTAAACATTGTGATATTGTACAAATAGAGCCACTGTTCTGTAACATTTGCTCCATTCAAAATGCAACACAATGCTATTCATATCCTGTGGTTCTCATATCTTTTTCAATTGAGAGAGGGTCGGTCCCAAAACAATTCAACATTCCATGCTGCTGCCTTTTTTTTTTTTAAGTCAGAAGCCAACATTAGAGTCAGTTGAAAATCAGTACCGTGGAGTCTCCTACGTTCACATACCCGTGTCCAGCCTACATATGCAAAAGTTCCATGTGCCTATTACAATTTGCTGAAAAGACTTGCTTACGCATTCTGCCCCTTGACCCTCCACAATGCACTGCGATTCCGCTGCTATGTCTGTCCTTCTTTTCTCAGGGCCTTTTGTTTATGGACATGTCTTTAATGGCATTTTGGAGTTTGAGTTCCGTACCTTTTGTGTTTGTGAATTGACTTGATTTCTGTTTACGAATAAAGAGTGATTTCTTATCTATTGGTAAGAGTGCCTATTCTCCTATTTCGTATATTTTGTTGTTTTTTCCGCCCCTTTCCTTCTGTGCATTATCTACAGGTTTGGTTGTGACCTACCGCAGTGTGTTGTGTATGGCTGTTGAACAGGGCTGGGCAGCCCTTTTTCTTTGGTGCATGCATGCCAATAATAATGGCCTAACGCTATATGGGTCTGGCCGTGGAGCGGGGCTTACTGGGCTGCCCCGCTCTTTTGTGGTGTGGTTTGCATTATCCAATTAAGTGGAGTGGTGTGAATAGGCTGGGGTTGAGCGTGCTATGCCGCAACAATACCCTCGATCACTGATGACCAATACCAGAATTGATCAAGCTGAGCGTGCTGTGCCGCAACACTACCCTTTGTCATCGACGCCCACTCCACACATCTTAGGATTGGGTTGAGCTTGCTATGCCGCAACACTACCCTTGATCACAGTGACCAGAGAATGATGAGCGGTTCCTTTTCTATGCTGTGGGTACCGGGCATCCCTACCTACTGCATCCCCGGACGACCCTAGCGACTGATGGCCCAGCAGGGCTTGCGGGGCGACGGTCTGCCATCTGCCCCGGGTCCCTCACCGGCTTCTGCCCATTGGGTGGCCCACCTGTCTACCAATGGACTTCTGTCATGAAGCCACTGATACTGACCTGGGATGCTCCTCGTAGGATGCAACCGACCATTCGGGGGATCCCCTCCCGGCTGTTCCTCCAAGTGTCCCGGCCTTTGGCTCCCCGCACTGGTAAAGTCTAAGAAGCACAAGGTCAAGTCATCTTCTTCAGCTTCCTCGTCCAAGGCATTCATCTCTCTCTTCCGCAAGATAGACTGTAAGCCTTAGCCTGCCGCGGCGGCACCCGACCCAGACTCCCTCCCGGCCGTCCCTCACAAGGGGTGTTCTCAGAGGCCGAAGTGGTTTCTGTCGTCCAACCAGAACCATGTCCCAGATCATGGTGACTGTCTCCGCTCCGAACACAGTCTGGCTCTCCCCTCCATGGTCCTTCAACCTCACTCATCCGAGGATGACAACATTGACTCTATTGCTGGCCTGACCAAACCCGAGGGCCGCCTCCGCCTTCTTGAGCATGACATGATCTCTGGCTTTGGTTGTCTGACCCTATGCCTGTGGAGAAAGCACAGACTTCATTCAAGTGTCACCAGGGTGCTTCCGTCACAGCTCTCCGGCAGCTCAGCCAGCTTCAGCCAACCATGACCTGCATGTTGGACATTCTGCTGACACCGTGGGTCTTCAGGTTCTTCCTTCAGGTTCTACGGCAGGATCACCCGCATGTAGGAAGCGCGCACACTAATCGTCTTCTGTGGGATTCAAATTCAAAAGCTCACTCTACACCTAAGCAAGATACATGTATTTCTTCATCTAATTTGATGACGGTGTCTGCTCCTTCGGAAACGCTGTCCACTTCAGTCGGCCGCCTCAAGTCATCCTGAACTCCCCCAGCAACTGCTCCTGACCAGAATCCCCAGCATGAGGATCTCCATCTGGATCATCTCCCAGATTTGTAACCGGCTCTGCTTCCAACTTCCAGCTTCATTTCCAGGCTTCACATCTGGCTCCGTCAGTCCATCCAATACGCGAACGCCCATTCATTTTATTTTTTGCACTTAATAAATTCATTCAATAACAATTCTTCAACTTGTTCAGGTACAACTGCACTACAAAAAGGTGGTCAACTTTTGATTGATATTTTACCCAATGTTGGTATAAATATCAACTTTCAACCTTGTGCAAATTCTTCCCAATCGTTTGTCAATGTTTGACAAACAGTGATGAAATTATACAAAAATGTGGCAACTTTAATCAAGATTGGACAAAAAACGAATGCCCAACACTGTGTGACCAATTCTATTTTGTACAGTATGGTGACATTTCTTATCCAGGCCTACTCCTCTGCCTTCATCTGTTCACTTTTCAGGGCGTGCAGGAGTTACATGTACATGTTTACTTTACCGGGCCACCTGTCATTTGCTTGTACGGCCCCTATACATGTATACTTAGGAATGTGAGTCTGGGTCACACATGCTTAACCCTAACCATGGCTCGAACAATAGTTCACAGGCCTACCGCTACACTATGCATCAGACCGCCGACTAGCGCCTGAGACTCTTGTGCTGGGGGCCAGCTAGGCAGGGAACAGACAAATCGGCCATATGGGCATCTCTGTACCATTCTCTGGAGTTATCCCGGTGAATAAAAGGTGATACGATCTGCACACTGTGTGTTTTATTTTCCCCAACGTTTTTTTTTTGTGGTCATTTATGCTTGTGCTTGCAGTAGATGTCAAAGCTCATCCACAGACACAGTGCCCCATGGAGCCCTCCGACGTCTGAAACTTTGTCATCTTGGTACTCAGGCGCGGTAAAATTCAAAAACAATCTCCGGACAGGCTCCCCTCTCTCTTTGACTGGTGATCATGCCATTCAATTCAGCATCGACACCTTGGGCATCCGAGTTCACCGAACTTCTCATTGTTGTGAATTGTACATGCTCCTTTCATTTAATAATTCTGGGTTCTCCATATATTCTTCTGTTTGGCCTGGCCACGCCCCACATACTATCCGGACACAAGTTCCTTTGTAGTGGGCGTGTCCAAAGTGTGAATACTGTGAAGTTACAAGGTCTGGTAAAAGTGTGCCTGCTGTCAGCGCCCACTTTTGTTTATGGCTTGCCAGGGTTGCCTTTTGACAGCACCTCATGCAATCAAAATGAATTTGCGCATTCGGCAAGTTATTTTGTGCTAGTGAATAATTGGGAGTATTATAATATTTGGATGCTGAATGAAATAGGATATCTGGATTCTTAATCATGGAGTGACTTCGGTGTTTGGATGCTGCTTACCTGCAGTTTTTCTATTTCTGCAGTAAATGCAGGATGACCTTATTCCCATGCATGTGATGATGTGGCCATAGTCCTCTAACCCAAGGGCCGGCCTCACTTTCGTCCCTCGGAGTCCAGATGTGACCATGACAATGGATGCGTTACTATACGGAGGGGGAGCCTCTCTCCACTCCGTGCCTCTAGGACACTGCCTCTCGAGGCAAACATATCAATGTGTTAGAACTCCAAGTGGGGTTCAATGCTCTTCATTACTTCCAACAGCACTTAGTAGGCTGTTCTGCTCGAGTCCTGAGGGATGCCTCAACAAAAGTGGCATACATCAATCGCTAGGGCAGCACTTGCGTTCCTCAACTCATATGCCCTTGCGGGGCAGCTCTTCAAGTGGACGATCAATAAGGGAACAGCCTTCAAGCTGTTCACATAGCGGAAACCAGCTACAGCACGGCAGACACACTCACTCGGGTGCTTTCCAACCAACAGAGTGGACTCTTTATCCAAATGTTGTCAGCCAGATTTTCACAGAGATTGAGCATCTTTAATTCAACCTCTTCGCTTTAAGGAATAATGCCAACCTTCCAATGATCTGCTTCAGGTTCCCTCACCCACGGGCATGGGCGACAGACACCCTACATATCAACTGGTTGGGCCCTCTGGCATACGTCTTCCCTCCAGTCTCCCTCATTCCGTGGGTCCTGGCCAAGATAGAACGGAGCTATGTCTGATCCTCCTCGCTGCCCCACTCCGGCCTCTCCAACAGTGGTTCCAAAGACAGACAAGACTCCTGGTATGATGGCTGCTGTCCTTCCCCTGAAAGAGGACATCCTCTGTCAGCCCAAGTTAGACATCCTTCATCCACCACCAGAGAGTCTTCATTTGACGTGCTGGACATTGCGCAGTGACCTTTCAGGGTGTGAGGTTCTTCAGCAGATGCTGCGTCTAGTTCAACCCAGGGTCAATGGCTGTCCACTCAGAAGATCTACATCAGCTGGCTGCATTTTATTAGAGGGTGCGATGACCACGATGTTTCTCCAACCGAAGCTCCTTTGAGCTCCGTCGAAAGCTTTTTTCATGTATCTGTTTTCATGCGGGCCTTGGGGTTACCACCATCTGCAACTACTGGGGTCGATGGGCTCGACTTTTTCCAGCAATGCTGCTATCCTATGTCTCCTTCAAGGGATGTTTGTCAGGCATCCTCACGTTAAATGCCTCATCTTATCCTTGGACCTCGGAAGTTTTCCTCATGTTCTTGCCAGTCGCCCTTTTTCAAACCACTGGTTGATATGTCTGACCTGCATCTCAGCATCAGGCTGGTGTCCTCACGGTCGTTACATTGTTACGAGGTAGTGAGCTACATGCCCTGTCGATTGCCGATGGGCACAGCTGCCAGGAGCCACACTGGGTTCGTCTTGTCCCAACCATCGGGTTCCTGACGAAAAACCAGACACCTATCTTCTGGTCTCCCGACATAGTCGTTCCTGACATTGCCTCGCTTTCAGGAGACGACTCTGACAAGAGATGGTGTCCGGTTTGGACTCTCAAGTGATATTTGCCAGAGCCGAGCATCGCCAAGAATATAATTCCCCGCTCTTCATCACCACAACAAATCCCTTTTCACCCGGCATCAAAGGACACTATTGCCTGATGGACGGTCTCAGCCATTATCTTTGAAAGCTGAGACTAGCCGGCACAACATGATGAGATGACCTGATCTCGCGTCAGGGCCCATGATGTTCGGGCCGCCTCTGCATCCTGGTTGTACTGTAGAGGAGTTCCTCTACCTCAAATCTGACAAGCGGCTTGCTGGAAGTCTCCCTCCACCTACACCGAGTGTTACCTGAAACATGTTTTGCAGAGCGAAACAGCTCATGGCACAGCGACCTTGCGCTCGGCGGTCTGGACAATGTCCAGCACTGTTCCGTGCCAGAAGGTGGATACCTCAACCTTGGGGTTTCTTCTGGTGAGTGCTCACTCTGGGGACACCCGCCTTATTTTTCTATTATTAACAACACTCCCATCGCCGACCCACTTCCAGGGTATGGTGCCACTCTGCATATGTAGGCTGGGTAGGGGTATGTGAATGCAGGAGACTCCTCCCTCACATTAGTGTGGGTCGGGTCTCTTAGTGATACTTACCCCTGCCCAGCCACTCCCGCCCATCCTTCCCCACTTTGGCTCCAGTGGTTTTCACTGCTTTGAAAAGAGGGATCAACATGGTGGTGGGATCGCAGTGCATTGTGGAAGGTCAAGGGGCAGAATGCATAATCAAGTCTTTTCAGCGAATTGTAATAGGCACATGAGAAATTTGCATATCTAGGCTGGGCAGGGGTAAGTATCACTAGGAGACCCGACCCACACTAATGTGGGAGAGGAATTTTAAAAGGGTGCCCTTAAAGGAGGCCAACTGAATGTCCGGTGAATAGTATATGGATTTATCTGTAGGCAAGAATATCCCAGGTGCAAGATAGGGATATTGTTACTCAGGGTAACACTAAATTAAAGCTGAACGTGTTAAAGGTATTTCAATTTCTCGGTAAAGCCAAACCCGACACAGGAATTTACTGTGAAAAAAACTGCACCAATCATCTTCGAAATATTTGCCTTATAAAAATGTACATATTGCTCCCTTTCAGTCATTAAACAGACATTTCCTGAGAGTCTAAATGTTCACAAACTATATTACAATTTTTTTAATCAAGTTAAAATGTAATGAAGTTTAATGATATTCATTCTCCTCAAGATATAAAGATTTAAAGATTTAAAATTTTCACTTAAATCATATCTGAAGGGTATGTTCCTTTGTTAAAAACTGGACTGCAGAATGTATTGTCCCTGTGATAATAGGATTTTTATGTTTTTAAGACTCTAGTGGTGAAAACTGGCCTTAAGCAAACTCACAACCAAAATTTGAAGTTGAGGAGGCATGTCGGTAAGAAAAAACTGTTACCATATGCTGTAAGGCATGGCAGTTATCAAGTTTACTTTCTTGGTTCATTTTAACTAAATTTTGAAAGGCTAGGAAAAGGGAAGATCCATCATAGTCACCTAAAGTGGCCTCTTCCAGTCCACATTTTACCCTCCATCTTATTGTCGGTTTGTTTAGTTTGCCATGAGAGGAGAACGTGGACCACGAGGTCTTGAAGGCAGAGCAGGACCAACGGTAAGTCTGTAAACCAGTCAAGAGCAGATGAGATTTGAACAAGTAGGTCTTTCAGTCCACACTTCCACATACTCACCGTGCACTCACATTTGCATAAAATTCTCTTTAAATTGATTATGAAAGTTGGCCATGCTGTCAACAACATCTTGTAATTAGTAAAAAAACCATTTTTTTAAAAATGAAGGGGGGGGGAGTAATGGGCAGTACAATTACCTTTGATTGAATGAATGAATTACGGATAACAATGAGGTCAGTAACAGCATGACCAGGTTCTACTGACATGTGGAATTACCAAAACCTGTCCATGATATCCAAAATCTCACGATAGGACTCTTATTGAACACTAAGAATTTTTAGGTTAGTTTATATTTTTATTGTAGTTTTCCTTACAAGGTTAGAGATACCAAAAACTCAAATCAGACAAAAAATAGACTGAATTTAGTCTAGGCCATTCCAAATTTGATCTGTTTGATCTGTGTTAAGCTCAATACATTATCCTTAGCTGTTTCCACTTCAAAGTTGCTCAAAGAGCAAACTAGTTCATTGCTGCCATGTAGTTTGCTCAAAACACTGTGACACAACAAGGCATGCATTAATAGGGTTCCAGCCGCAAGTGTCACCAAATAGTAAATATTTACCAACTTTGGCTATAATCCTGAGCAATTAGGCAAGGAAAAGTTGTCGTTAGCACTGTAAAAAATGTAAGTGGCTCCAAAAATGGTTATTTACTCACTTTGAAACTTGCCAGTTTGAGCCCAAATAATGTATTTTTCCCTCAAAAGCAGCAGTGGGTTCCAAAGCTATGCTCTGATTGGTCTAAAGCCATGAATAATAAGTGTTCTCAGTCTTGCCCTCGATTTGTTAAAGCTCTGGATTGTAATAAACCCAAACCATAAATCATTAGGACTAGAATCCTTCTCAAAATCCCATTTCCTGCCAACGGTGGAGTGGGGTTCAGTTGTGAGACCATCAGGCATTGGCCATTAATAGGCTGATGCATTATGCCCCATTTTATTGAAGGATCTGTAAAAAGTGGAGGAGCCATGTCTTCCCTCTGTTGAAAAAGCAGGGGGGTCTGCTCCCCCCCCCTGCCACCACAAGTGTCCTGCAAAAAACCCAAGATTGCATCTGTCACCATCACAACAATGCATACAATAATAATACTACATTATAGTGTTCTAACAGAACACAATACAACAAATTATGAAGCTGTCTGAGTTAATATAAATGGCCAAATCTGGGAGTGTAAATGAGCTCCTTGGGTTTTCCAATAATGCATGCCCAAAATGATGTATCAGAGGCCATTCAATAACGTTGAGTTCCAATCAGTATGGCTGAAAGCTAATTCACATGCGCTAGACATATTAGAGCTCTTGTGCTTTGTTCTTGATAGATCCTGCCTTTTTGAAATACCAAACTGTCTTGTTATAAAATATTGTCATGTAAGCCCAGTAATATAGATGAATTGTTACCAAATC